TTTACTACCGGATTACTTGATTTATGTTTACTATCTATACCAGCTGTACGTCTACTGTTTTCTCAATATTTAATCACTACAAATTCAATAATTTTTAGTATTAAATTTCTGTAGGTATAATTCACTATTGCACTAATATAATCGTACATTAGTATTTAAGTATTCACTCTATAAACACGTAGTATTCCTTGAATATTAAATANAATATTATTCTAAGAATGTTATGTGATATTTTTTAATATTGCAGGAATATTTTATTGATTTTAAATATTCACTTCTCATAATATTCTTGGATAATATTTTAAAAATGGTTTTACAATGTTTAAAAATATAATAATGGTAATATTATAATATTGGCAGTCCGATAAGTACTTAGCCTACAAAAGAAAAACGAAAATTTTGGAAAAGTGGCGATTTATTTCTCAGCATAGTCTCCTTTTAGCTCGATACACTTGAACCAGCGATGCTCCAACTTCTTTAACCCATCTGAAAAATACGTTTTCTCGAAATCTGCAAAGTAGGCGGCGATGACCTCTTCATTTGACTCAAATTTCTGCCCGGCGAGTGACTTTTTCAAGTTTGGAAACAAAAAAAAGTCGCACGGGGCAAAATCTGGAGAATACGGTGGATGGGGCAGCAGTTCGTAGTCCAATTCGACCAATTTGGCCGTGGCGACGTGGCGGAGGTGTAAACCGGTGCGTTGTCATGGTGGAAAAGCACTTTTTTCTTGGCCAAATGGGGCCGTTTTTTCTGCAATTCGGCGTCGGATCAGTCCAATAATTCGGCGTAGTAGAGCCCTGTGACCGTTTTGCCCTTCTCCAGGTAGTCGATGTAGATCACACCTTGTGAATCCCAGAAAACGGTGGCCATCACCTTTCCGGCCAATAAGGCAGTCTTCGCCTTCTTCGGAGCACGTTCGCCGGGTGAAATCCACTGTTTCGACTGTTTCTTGGTCTCTGGTGTGTACCAGTGGATCCATGTTTCGTCGACGGTCACGAAACGACGCAGAAACTCCTTCGGATTGCGCTTAAACAGCGTCAAACACTGCTCTGAAGTGGTCTCACGGTTGCGCTTGT